AAAAGAATGTCATTACATTTATACCAGTATTTACATATTTTTACACTTATACTGATGTCCACCAGGTGGCAGAAGAGTACAGCTGAGCACTGCATGCATAAAGTACTCCAGATTTGTGGCTAAGGTGGACATTTTTCTTGACAAATTTACTTAAATCTCAAACCGACATGAAATAGTGGATATTAAAATGCAAGTTTTACTGCAGTTCTTTGGCACATGCTACAATATCACCTCCATCAAAATAAGAGCAGTTACTGCTGAGATTTCTAAGCACTGCCATGTAAAAAGAACCCTGCAAAACAGCCTTTCTCACAGGGTCAAACGGCCAGACCCTCTGCCTCCCTCTTGGAGGGGTTTGCAGTCGGCTCTGCCACAGAAGCTAGTTCTTCACACACCAGGTGCCGACTCGAGGACGGGACACGTGGGCTTGGTTTGGGATCTGGCTGCGGCCCTGGGCCTGCAGACTTCTCATCGAGTGCAGTGATGCAAGTACTTCAACTTGCATTAAAAATGTTTAAAGAAATACCTACTTGTAAAAAATGGTATTTTGTACCGAAGGGAAAATACGCCTAGGAATGTGCACGAGGCTGTTTTGCTGGTCTTCCGGTTTGTGACATCTAGGGAGTCCCCAGGCACGGCTCCGCGAGCGGCGGCCTCTCGAGCAGGGACCCTCCCCTTACCTGACACGAGGTGCTTCTCGGACAGCATGATCTTGGTCACGGGGCTGCGGTGCACGGTGAAGGTCTGGAAGAGCTGCGGGCCTGACCCCACCGTCTCGGGGTGCTGCACGATCACCCGCACTGCCCCAGAGCTGGTACCGTAGGCGATCTCAATCCAGTTCCCACTGACACCTGGGGCGCAGGGGCGGGAGGGGGACATTAGGCCACAATAAACCATGACGGAAGCTGCCCTCGCAAAGCTCCCCTGCGAGGGGGGCAGAGCTGACCCCGTGCCCACCAGCCCCATCGGCCCAGCTCAGGAACCGGGGACTCTCTGACCCTTCCCTGCACTGTGTCGGATTCTCATAGCAGCTCTCACACTGATCGTCTACTCCCGTCTATTCACCTCTACTCCCTACGGACCGAAGCCTAATCACCTTTTTATCCAGGTCACCCTGTAGAGTGCCCGAGACCTCACAGGAATTCTTTAAACATGTATTGAGCAACACATCGGATGCAAAGCCACAGTCCGTGTTCCTGCTAGCCCAGCATGACCATCTCTTGTACTTTTACTCTGCTGCAATACAGAATCTTCCTGGAGGAGTCGAGTGGTGAACTAGTATATCCTATTTTACAGTTTCAAAACCCTTCGCCCTGGATCACACACCCCACCTGGTTACATCACACTCACCGCCTGTCTCTAACCCTGCCCAGCTCCTCCCGTCAGGCCACCTGTGGCCTCTGTTTCTACACAAGTGCCCAGGCCCCACCCAGGGTTAAGGAAGGATGGGGTTCAGTGGCCTGTCCTCTTCAAGAGCTTCAGATAGGGAGCCTCTGACTCTACCAGCTCCTGGTCTGGTTCACCTCACTGCCTGCAGGCCCTGGAAAGCACTTCTCCTGGCCTGTGGGCGGCTCCTGCCTCCGCAGAAGCAGTGCAGCCTCTAATTCAGACAAAGGAACTGCTGCTCACTCTGCAGAGGGCAAGCTTGCTGTGAAGGGCTGGGCAGCTGAGATCCTAACCTGTGCACCCACCTGTCTATTCCAGCCACAGCGGAGCCAGAGACGGCCCAAAAAGCATTAATGAAGAGCACTGGCCTGGCTCGCTGAGCCCAATATGTTAAAATCTCACCTGTTTCAAACCAAAACCCCTGGTGCACTAGAACATTTTTTTCGGACCAAAGAAATTATTTCCTTTGGTGAATTATATAAAATGACATTTTATCAGTAACATTCACACCTACTGATATCATTGTGCACATTTCCTAAAATTCCTTTCATTACTGATAATTTAAAGTTCCCATGTATGTTTACTGTTCACCCCAGTATATAAAAACTTTGTAATTTACGAACTTGTTAAGTGCATTGCAAAGGCCTTTGAAAGGCAATGAAAGTTATAGACACTGAACTTCCAAGTAAAATGCCTTTCCAGAACTTAAACCTGACATCTGCAAAGGAAATAAGCTCATCTCTGTCCAATAAAGATGAGCAGTCTGAGAGCTTTTGTCTCTGGTTGAAAAATATAAAGCCTCCTAACTTCAAAACAAAACCAGCTACTGCAATAGGAAGGTCAGTGTGTCACTATTGGTAATCTGGGTTGACGCTGGAGGAGGAGGCAGGTGCGATGTCACACCCCGCCGCCTGTCTGGGCCGTGCCTGACTTCCACATGAAAGCAAGTGTAGTCCTGCAGACGGGACGGAGGCCCGGCGCTGCAGAGGGGGAAGAACGCAGGGCGCCTGCGGCACTGACTTGTCTTGGGGGTGAGGTACACGCTCAGCGCCGTGATGGCGTCATTGGAAGGGTCGTGATAGAGTTCCGTCACGAGGAGGTCGTTGTCCTTCATCCGCAGAGGGAACTTCTGCATGTCTGCAACAGAAACGCCCAGGTCATGTCGAAACCAACAGTGCGTGTATTTAACACTAAGGAAGGTGACGTATTCTTGTCGTTTAGAAGAGCCCTGGGAAGCGGGACGCGCTCACTCACCGATGTAATAGATGGACCCGTTGTTACAGCCGAGCAGGAGGAACGACCCCGCGGTGTCGTAGCTGGTTATGGGGACGACATCTTGAACCTGATGTGGCGAGATGTCATCAGATGTCAGATATTAATTACAATTTATTTCCTCCATTTTCTCAAAATTCTTTTAATAAAAAAACACCAATATTCACTGTAAGTGGGGCTTAGAAATGGGTGTTTTGTATGTACACACATGCGTGTGCACATGCACAGCGAATGGTGAAGGACCACGTATGTGATTCCCTTTAAAGTTTTTAAAAATGTGAATTTCCACAGGGGCACATGGTTCTGAGACCGCAGCACTCTGAGGACTGGAAGGCCAGGTCTGAGCAGGGCACACAGCGATCAAGGCCGGCTCAGTCACCTAGTGAGGGCAGACTGAGACCAGAGCACAGATCAAGCGACTTCCGCACAGTACGTCTTCCCTCGATAACCTTCCTTTCTGTGAAAAGACAGCTCCCCTACTTTCACTCTGCCCGCTGCAGGCTTCACCTGTTTCCTAGGAAACGGCATTAAGGCAAATACGCTTCATGTTCTGTTTTTTCAAGCACTAGAATAAAAATTCAGTTTCCAAGCAGATCAACATACTTGCAAATTAATAGCTGCTTATATTTGTGCTAAAGGAAAAGCAAAGGGCATGATTTTTACTACAAAACCAAACCAAACTGAAAGTATGGTTTGCTAGAGCAGAGCAGTGACCATAAGGAAGATCCATGCTCTTCCCTGGGCACAGCTAGGAGGTGCCACTCAATGCGAGTCTCTCCACGCACCAGGCACTTCAGCACGGGCAGAGGGGTGAGAGGCTTGTGCATTGTGGGCAACAAGAAAAGTAACGACAGTGCAGTGCGATCGGCTGGGGATCTGGACAGTCACGGGGAAGAGGAGGGGAAGGACGTGCTGACAGAGCAGCAAGTATGAAAGCACAGAGCCAGGCCCGTTCCTGTGGAAAGGAAAGCACAAAAGGAGCTAAAATGTTCAACTCAAATCACGTCTAGGATTTAAGAAATGGCAAATCACAGTTTAAACACTTTTCGCAGAATGACTTCCAATTCTTAAAAACGGTTAAATTTTATCCAGAAGCAAATTTGCCACTAAATTTATTCACTTATTCTGTAAAATCAAATGGAGAC